ACTTTCCTGTGTGACGTGCTGTAGGGAACCTGCTTTATTAGGGGTCTGGACAGGATGATCTCCAGAGGTTCCTTCCAACCCCTACAGTTCTGTGATTCAGTGAATCTGGCAACCATAAACATTTCCGTTAGGCACCTTAGAAAGTCTCTGATTTATATTTCTCTGTGGAAGTGTGATTTTGTTGCATGCTATGAAAAACTGGGGGACTTAATGCTCCCAATACCAACATAAGCAGATTAATGCCAGATAAAACGAGCCTGAACTCCTTAAGTTACACCTGCACCAACAATACGTGCTGATAATCATTTTGATATGATATTATTAGTGAAATATTATCCAATTAAACCACAAGCCTGACTCTGATGAGGGAAGTTATACTTACAGGGTAAAGTTTCACTATTCATTTTGTAGCAGAGGCATAGTTTTGAAGTTCATTTGGATATTTTTTCTTTACTAAGCAGATGGAGGAGAGCTTGTTTTTTGTGAAAATAGTGGAAAAGTAACATAAAATACTTGAACATGTAATGTAAAACCAAAACATCTTAGCAATGCTGCCCTGTGGGTCACCACCTCCTGTTCTGCAGGGCTAAGTAAACATTAAACATTAACACATTTATTGCTTGGTTTTGATTTAGTGTCAATATTAAGTGCAACACACAGAGCACAGGCTGAGAAGGTGGAGGCATTTAAAGCAGGTAGCATAATGTGTAAAAGGAGTATATTTTTTCTCCTATGTTTTAACTCGTTCTCTCTTTTCTACATTGTTGGGAATTACTTTACCTTCTCTTCTTGTCTTTTTCAAGAAAAACAGGGAAAAATCCTAACTGATGTTAACATAAGGCTTGAACAATTCGTGGAAGGGATTGTGCAGTTGTTTATCCCAGCTGGAATCATGCAAATCGTTTCCATTTCAGTGCTCCCAGTGCTGCAGCCACTCATCAATTGTTACATTAGTTCAGTTCCCATCAGCACAGCCTTTGATGGGTGATGTAAGCAAGTTATTCTGCTCTGTGAGCATGTGCGTTTGGGTTTTGTGTATATCACATATTCTGATGGTTCTCACATTTGTACTGCCAGCTTTTTGAATGTAGTGGAACTAGTTGAGAAACACAGGTTGAGGAGGAAACCTCAAACATGTTTCTTTGCAAGAGAAATTTTGCTTAAGGAAGTGATCACTTGCATCATTTGGGGATCCCCTCCCCACTACCAATGTGCTATGCTTGTTCCTGCAGTTCCCCATTTCTTTGTCTTGCCCATTTGTGCCTTTGTACAGTGATTTCCTTGGTGCTGGATGGAATTTGAGGTTGCTGAAGTTAAGGGAAAGATCTATAGAAGGCACTGATACTGCTTCTCCATGCTCCTTCCTGCTCTTTCCTAGTACATCCAGGTTCCAGCAGGCTGCAAAACATAAACACAGAAGAAGCATTGGATATTTCGTAGTCCTGCCCTCACCCATTCTGTCAGGAATTTTATGGTCACATGCCTCTCAAGATTTGTCACACACAAATGAAGTCCACCAAATACAAGAACGACTGATTTGCAAAGATGGTGAAGGGGCACATTCTGCTGGAGGAGAAAGACTCCTGGTCAAAGCCAGACCTGATGCAGGGCAGATCAGCCTCTGCATGCCCAATGTACCTGTCCTACAGAGCAGAGAACAGGCTATAGTAGTATGGATTGCTGGCACACTGAAAGGAGCTCAAAAGCTTCTGCTTTTCTGAGGAACATCTGGGAAGGGGAATGTGTAAGCCTTATTTGAGCAAATGTGGTAAAAAATAACCTTTATTTTCCCATAATGCTTTATTGAGATTAGTAAAACCACAGTGTTAATATAGTACACATGTACAAATTTGGAGCTATGTGACAGCACCATTTACAATAATTTGTCTGTCTTTTTCAATCCCTTTCCATGGAAGGTGCTACACAGAAATGTTCTTCTGTGGCAAAAACAACAGCAAAAACAACCATCTTCACAGTTCTGCAAAAATTAATTTCTGCCCAAGTCTTGCTAGTTTCAGTTATTTTCCTCCCACCCTGAAGATGGCATAAGGAGAGAGAGGTCAATTGATCATCAAAGCAATAGGCTTTTGAAAAGACTTATAATGCAGCTATGATGTGCTGAGGCACCTCTGTCCTGCTGTATTTCAGCTGGGCGTCTGTCTGCTTTCCCCTGCACTAAGCCTGAATCAAAACTCAAAGCTGAAGCATGGCCAAGGTGGGAAGAAGGAATGGCTGTGGAGACAATGCCTCTCTGCTACTGCCTGTGTCCTCAGAGAGGCTGCGTCCTGTTAAGGCTTTCTCTGGCATGGAAGGTCTGTGCTCTTAGGGACTTCCTGGCGTGTCCTGTTTTCCCTCTGCATGGGAGGCCTCTCTGTGGTGGCTCGGTGGTGGTGGGGATGTTGGTGGCTCTGCCAGGTCCTAGAGCATGGCTGGCCCTGCCTTTGGCCTAATCCCCACATCAGGCCATGCAGTAGGCATGGCCAGCCCCACACCAGAACACGAGTGTGAGTACAGCCTCACGTGGCATCTGGTGGCTCAAAAAGCACCTGCTGTGTTCTAAATAAATCTGACATAGTATAATCCAAATGGGAGAGCAATAATCTCATCCCAGAACTGTTAGAAGATGTACAGCAGCTGATCTGCTGCATTGTGTCCCGTGGTGTTTGCTAAACAGTGCATGTATGTGCAATCAATTGCTCATTACAGTTATCACACATGGCACAGATACAAGCAACTGTGGCGTTACTAATTTCCCCTTGACCCCATGCTGTCATTACGTGGTGGCAGTGTGGGCAAGAACAGCGTTTCCCGATTCATTGCTAGAGTGAGGGAGACATTTTGGTCTGTTCCCTAAGGAAAATACTCTCTATCAGTTTGTAACTGCTGTTCAGGAAGACATAGGACTGCAGCATCCCAAAACCAGGCTCTGAGTGACTCTGGAGGAGGTAACAATGCATCCTGAGATGTCCCAAAGGTGTTTTCTGACAGCAGCAGCAGAAAACTGGGAGAGGCTGCCAGGAGTCAGCTAGCCTGTGTGGGTCTTCCACCCTGTATTGCTGTCACGTGGTTGTGATGGCAAGGAAGGCTCCTGGGGGTGACTACAGCCCCCAGCCTGTAGGGCACAGCAGGACAGATTCTGCCTCCAGTTCCCCTATATTGTAGGTGGCTGCAGGTGAGCTGATCAATGCCTAGTGGGTAAAGCAAGCCAGAAAATTCTGGGAGAACAGCTTGTGTATTTCAGCCACTAGCAGGCACCCAGTTCACAGGACAGAGTCTGACAGAAGCTCTCCAACATGCAGTGAATGCACACTGGGCTCTCAGAACCTGGTGGCCTGCTTTGTGGGCCTGCCCAGCTTGTTCAGGCCCACCTGCTCTGCTCCTGGACTTGCTGCTTCCTGCCTGGGGATGGGGTGGCCACAGGGATGCTCAGCACGTCCTCCTGACATCTATTCGCTCTGACAGTTAAAGTGGAGCCAAGAGTGATACTTGCATCAGGCACAAACTGAAGCTTGTGCTGTATATAAACAGCATGCCCTAGTTCTTCACCCTCAGGCTCCCCCTGCTCCTTCCTGTTGAGGGGGGCAAGAAAGAGGAGGACAGCTGCAAGTACAGCATCTCTGCCTAGGCTGAATTCCTTAAAAAGGCCCATTCCTCCAGTGAGGGCCCTGATACCCTGTTTTTGATGTGACTATGCTGTCCTCCATGCGGTATTTTTTCCTAAGCCAACTATCGTTCCCACGAGAGCTCAGAGTGCTTTTTTTTTTTCAGCCCATTAATTTTCATAGCGGAGGAGAAGAACCGCACACCGGCGGCGCAAAGCAGATCCCCGGCGGGCAGCGGCGGGGCCGGTGGCGCCCTCTGGCGGCGGCCGCGCCCGGGTCGGCTCGGGACGGGACGGGGCTCTCCCGGCAGGATTCGGGGAAGCGCTGGGCTCCCCGCCGCGCTGCAGGGTGGGTGAGGGGAAGCAGAACCATTTATGGTTCTGGTTTGCCCTCCCGAGGCCTCAGTTTCCGAAATCCCATTTCGGTTTAAAGATAATGCTGTAGAGTGTCTCAGCCCTTCTCCCTAGCCGTGAGCTTGTGCCTGTGTGTGTGTACGGGAACATGGCAGAAGAGAGATGGAGACAGCAGGTGAAATTAGGATCTTGTCAGAAAGCAATCGCTGGCTCCTGTAGCCTTCAGATACGACAGATGTGACTTCTAAAAGCAGAGCTGTGATTTAGATTTTATCTGAAAAGAAACCTGCATCCTGCAGCTGCTTTTGGCACGTGACATTCGGCGGGGTGAGAAAGGTTCCTGAAATACTCTGTGCAGAATTTTTGCTTTAAAAAACACACTGTACCTATCTTCACCTGTAGTAAGAGACTCATCTCTACCAATTTTAAATATTAGCCAGCTTACAGTGGAAACACTACAAATGGAATCGTATTGGAGAAAACCCCAACGGAAAATCACACCAAACATTCTGACTCTGTGGCTAAAACATTACCTCTAAAACTTTATTAAAGTGTCATTCTGCGAGGCGCGCAGCATTACAGGTGGTTTGAGAAAAGCAATAATCTTGCTTCAAAAGCAATACTATAAATGATGAATATACTAAGTAACATCTCCATTACAACTTTCTGGCTGTTCTGAGGAGACCGTTGGTGTCATTTTTTACCTAGGTTTTACCTCGCTTCAGATTTGAAGGTCTGGAGAAATGTGCTTATTCTGCCTGTCACTGTAAGGCAGAAATAGACCATAGTGCTTAAAAGTGAGCTTGTATCACTAAAAGCAATAAAATACAATAAAATAAAAATTGCTGTTAGGAATAAGAACTGTTAAATTGGAGAAAAGATGAAAGTAGAAGATGGAAAGAAGAGGAAGAAGAAATGCCTTTGTAGGGTGCTGTATCATTATTAAACAAACAAGAATAATTTTAAAAGTCAATTAGAACAACAAGGAAAAGTCCTCAGGCTGGAGATTTCCAGGAAACCATGTAGCAATAAAACCACAATTGAATCCAGACAAAATCCATCTTATGGATCATTTTAATACATAGTTATTAAAAATTTCTTATTCAGTAATCTCTCCAAAAAAGGCAACCCGGGACTCTTTCAATGAGCTTCTTCAAAAATAAACCTTAAAAATCAAGTCCATTGAGCAACCTCCTGGATTTCCTTTATTTACTCCAGCAGTGCAATTAGATGCCATGAAAACAAACCCTCTGATTTCCCTGGGTAACACGCCATGTCATGGATGTGAGGAAAGCAAAAGAGCGGCGGCAAGTCTGTGGTTTCTGACAGAGAGAACTTTCTTGTTGCAGGGGAGAGAAATCAGCCAGGAGTGCTGACTGCAGTCCTGTAGTTGGACCCATCACACCCATCCTCTGTGTTCCCACTGTGCTTCTGGACTCAGCAGCACTACGTGCTAAGTGCAGGTGTCTGCTCCTGAGGACCCGGGAACTTCCAGCTAGCTGCTGCAGAGGATGGGTTCACCTCCGTGTAAGTTCTGGAAGGGGAGCAAGATGTTTCCACAAGGGAACATTATGTCTATTTTTAGACCTCCTGCTCTCTCACTCAGTCCCACTGAGACAGTGCTGAGCACCATGTGCTGGCCTCTCTCCAGCTACCTGCTGACACCAGGCTGCTGAAAGTCAGCATGCTCCACATTGCCCTAGTAAGAAAACTTCTTGCATGTTTTGTAGACACTGTCCAGTAGCAGCAGCTGCTGCTGCAGCTACTTATCCTGCTCAGAATCAGCTTAAATGTTGCATTACAAATGTGGTCTCTCAGTGCCATTTGCAGCACCACTGAGTGTAGCACTTCAACCACGAAATTTATCCTGCACCCCTTCAAAGGCCTTCGTAGACTCCTACAATCACAGTGTGTGTTGGGTTGGAAGGGACCTTAAAGTTCACCCAGCCCCAACCCACTGCTGCCACACACCAGCTCAGGCTGCCCAGCACCCATCCAACTTGGCCCTGAGTACATCCAGGGATGGGGCACCCACAGCTTCTTTGCCAGTGCCTCACCATCCTCTGAGTTAAGAATTTCCTCCTAATATCTAATCTAATAATCTCTTGGCATGCTCAGAACACACAGGTCCAGGAGGCAGATGTATGCCCCGAAGCTCCATGTAGATGGACGATGTTCTGGATGTGCCTCTCCCTTCAAATACATACCTTCATCACTAGTGAGGCCATGCAGACACTTCTCATTGCTCTGAGGGTAAAATAACTCCTGAGCAGAGCTTTCCAGGACCTTCACACTGAAGATTCTGTCACTTGTGAACCGGCACCTATTGTTAGATCTAGATTGATTTGTAGATGTAATGTATGGAACTCTGTTAGTCCTGCAAGCTAGACTCAAACAATAAAGTCCACTGCAGCATGTAGCTGCCATGGTGCTCTGAGAGAACTTCAGCCTGAGCTGTGTGCTTCAGAGTCACCTCTGAACGGACTCTCCTGCAGAGGAGATTGCTATGGGTCACAGCATGGCCTGCTAATGCCTTCAGTACCGATAGAACCACGTATTTCTGCCAAGGCTCCAGAACAGTGACTTTTGCTTTTGTGGTGCTTTTGCTTTGTACTCCATTGGCAGGGAAAGAAACTGAATGTGATGCACGGTGGATCTTTTTCTCCCATCTGGGATGCTCTGATTCAATGGAATGCTCTGAAATTACCTATGGGGTTGGGTGAAAACAGAGGAAGTCAACCTGTGGAGTGGACTTGTTCATGAGTAAGCCATTCTAAGGAATCAGGCTAAGCAAAGACACTATGGGCACTTCTGTGGATCAGACATCTGGGCACTTCTGAAGTTCCCCAAACAATCAAGGGGCAATAATACATTGAGAACAAATCGAATGTTCTCTAATGATGCTGGAAGTCCAGGAGTAATCGTGACATCTTTTGCATTCACTGTTCACACTATTTCAGCAAGTCTGGAATTTGGGATCCTCGTTGGGAAAAACTTGAATGAATTTGCATCTTTGAGTTTAATTGGTTTTGCTATCGAACTGCATAGCAAGAGAGAAAATAGCATGAGGAACAAAAGGAAGGGGTTGGTTAAATGTTTTCAGTGACACTGAAGCACATTTCAGTATGGCTGAAATCATTGTGTCGCACCTGCCTATTGTGCAAATGCTAAAGAAAAGATTTGTAAAGATTAAGAAGTTGGTGTCTCTCAGAAGCAGTCTGTTGTCAGTAGTTATTTATGAAGACAGTGGATATATTTCCTCGTAACGAGGAGGTGATAGTTCTTCACAGGGGTCTTCCAGAAGTTCTTCTGGCTCATCAGAGCTGTCCTCTGACCTGATAATAGGAAGAGAAGAGGGTGCAAAAAAAAAGAAAAAAATAAAATAAAAAAAAAAAATTCAAACACAGAGCATGAAGCAACCTCCATTCTTTGTCCTGTCAGCCTTGTCTGGGCAAAGAACTTCCTGACTTCCGTGTGAGTTTTGCCTGGGAAAACATTACAAGATGAACTTTTACTGTGATTCAGCAATGGGCTCTAATCTTTTTGTGAAGTACAAAAATGTCAGGTGGTGATCTTTATTTTCTGCTGCCCATGTCTGTTGTGCATAGTGCTGAGGACAACAGGCTGCCAGCTGCTTGCAAAGAGACTTTGATAAAGGAACAGAATTACTTCTAGAAACGATATAATTCTGAGTAAGTCCTGTAATTTGAATGTTTTCCTGTAAGAGTAAAGAAGTACAAGATTACCTTTTGACTAATGAAAGCAGTTTCACACTTAGCTGTAAGTTAAGTTAGTGTTGTTGTTAGTGATGTTGTATATACCTCAAAAACTAGGACAGTGATAATGGCTGGAAGATTGCTGCAGGTGTGACTGGCAGGGAGAATGCCTGGCACCCTTTCATCCTCATGAAAATGCTGTTTGTGGGCTTCTCCTGTGCTGTGATTTTGCTTGTGTGGGACGCTCTGCCTGGGCATGGAATAACAATCTTCTGATTGAGAGACTAAGAGAAATGTTAAGAACAAGCAAACAAAAGTCACTGGCACAGCCACACAGAGAATCTGTGGATGCCTCATCCTTGGGCATTCTCAAGGCTAGTCTGGGTGGGTCCAAGGCAGCCTGAGCTGATGGGTGCAGCCCTGCCTATGGAAGGATTGTGGAACAAGGTGGGCTTTGAATTCTCTTCAATATAACATCATTCCATGATTCTATAAAAAAACAAAACAAAACAAAAACCCATGCAGGAACAGGAGCATATATACAAATATCTTTAAAAATAACAAGAGATTCCATAGATTGAAAATTGAAGGAATTCTTAAGTGAATTTAACCTGAACTAAAATGTTTTCTATGTCTTAATGTTCTCTACTCAAGAAATATTCCTAATCAAGAGAAAAGAAGTCTGGAGGAGAACATACAAAGGGAGGTGCTTTTTGCTTTGCAAGCATGCTTCACACCTTAAAACACATACAACCCATGCCCAACCGTGCTAAGACTTTTCAGAAGATGTACCTTTGGTTCTGTGTGTTCTCTGCGAGATAACTGGCACAGCTCTCATCCCAGGTGAAAGCGGGGTTGTCCAGAGAGTAGGCAGGGCAGAAGTGAGCAGAGCTGGGGCTGGGGATGGGAGAGACACCAGGGGAGACGGCCCCGCAGCAGCTGAGCACAGGGTGCATGTAGCCAGGGCTGGTGGCTGCACTGTCCAGCGCTGGGTAAGGTGGGGGGATGTACTGCACCACTGTGGCACCGTGGAAAGTTATGGGTTGGTTGATTCCAGTGAACACGAAGGACTGTCCGCTTGCGTTCTGTTCGATGTCTAACGTGTTCTCCTCTCTTTCTTTGCAGGGCTTGCATGTAAGCATGTTGAACTTGCAAATGGCAATCAGGATGAAAGTTACCCCAACAGAAAGCAGGATAGGCCCTAGTAACTGAGTCCACTCCAGGTGAGTAAGGCCGTCGTACTTTATCCACCCCATCACGGTGAATGTAATCCCCACCAGTCCCAAGAACACACCTGAGAAAAGCAGAGTGGCACCAGCTTTGTCCCCATCTGACACCAGGGCATCAGACCTACTCGGCGGGTAAGGAGTGACAGAAAACACATTCAGGGAGAAATCCTCCACGTTGCTGTTGTTCTGTTCCATCACCAAGTATCACGAATCTTTCTCAGCAGAGAGGGGTTTGCAAGGTACTCTGCAGAGCATTGAAAGTTGAAGGTTCAGGTTAATTATACAAGGACGCTGTGCATGTATGGTTAACAGAGTCCATCACGTGAAAGAATAAACTTTGCTTACAAGAATAAAGGTCTGGGAAGTGGAGCCTAAAGACTTCTTGCTTTACCACCACTGCTTCCGAAACGGCTTCACCCTTGCATGGCTACTTATCTTCTTGATTATCCTCTTCTTCAATTTGGCCCTCACGAATATTTCCTCACCCTGCCTGTGCCAGATGGGAGAGAAAGGAAGCGGAGGTCCCTGAAGCTTATCCTAGGCCCCCTGCCAGCCAATGCATCCAACATATGGACAGCATACATCACTCCATAGCAGCACAACGACTCACTCACTTTCCTTGGGCCACCAATTTGGCAACTCATGTCTACAGGAAGATACGCGGCCTTTGCTGCTGTGCTTCAGAGCCCTGTGAAGTGTGATGGTTACAGCCATGTCTAGACCATGTTGCAGCTGGCCCTGCAGCCCAGAGCTTCTGTGGTTGATACAGATATCAAAGGAAGCTTACTGAGAGTTTGATGGGAGGGAGTGGTTGGTGGGTGGGGAGGTAAACAAAAACAGGGCATTGGAAAGACTGCAGAAGCTGCTGATTGTGGTAGAAATTTTGCTTCCCTTCAGCAAAAGCTGGGGCTGTTTGAAGACAGCATAATTAGTGATTTCCCCTTAATTGTGGACATTTTTCTTATGGAATTGACACCTCTTCCTCAGAGTTTAGACTGATTAAAACCCAGATATCCCGTCACTGTGGGGAAATGTCTTCTGTAATGTTGGCTGAGCAAGGGATCTTGACCTGTATGGTAAATGTTGTATTCAGCAGTACCTGCAACATTATTTTTTTCTCAGAACTTATTTAATCATTTGGAATCCTTTCTGACAGCAATGTGTGGCTGGTATATCCTGTCCTTTCCCTGAATACCTGGCCTTCATGATTGAAACTGGCACTGCAATAATGGCAGGATAACACAGTGTCCTGTGGCAGCTGTTTTACACCCAGCATGTACCTAAACTGTGAGCAGAAGCATGTTCCCATCTTCTCTCACTGCAGTAAATATCATAGCACGATGGGGCTCTATGCAAGAAAGCACCAGGATTATTTACCTATCTGCCATATATTAAACAGACAAATGAATTGAATGTTGAGACTTTCTGTTTCCTAATGATTTCAGACAAAAGTAATTGCTGCCGGAGTGTTCTGGTAGAGGAAAAAGTCTTCCACTACTCAATCTGTTTGGATTAGCATAGCAGGGAAGCACATACAGTACAGAGATTACTCCTCAGGAGGTAGAAAGCATAATGCTATTTCCTGCTACCAGCAGCTCTGGGGAATCAAGCTTATCCTGAGGTTGTTGGAACAAAAATAGCTCTAGAAAACTCACCTTCTTTTGCATGGCTTCTTCACAACTAATGAAAGTGCCTTGAGCTACTGTGCTCCAAGATCAGTTCCGAACATGACTGCTCACCAAAACTTTCCGAGGAGATGCTGGGATACTGCTGTGTCTTTCTCTTCTCATTTGTCAGCAGAGACACCCTGAGAAATGTTAAGGCTGAATTCCCTTTAAAATGTCCAGGAACTTTTCAGAGTCATTATTATGGCTCTTCTATTACCGAAGGTGCCAACAAAATTTCTGACAAGATCACAGATTCGCCCTTCTCCCAACACCAGGTAAAGACTTGAGGAGAGGGTCAGGGTTTGCAACCAAATTAAGAACTGCTGAAATATTAGATAAGCCATCATTGCACTGGTAATTATAGCTAAAACCTACATCATCTTTAATCTTTTATCTGTTTAAATACATTGAATGAACTTCTGTTACTGCTCTCTGTGTGTCAGGTTTTTCCATACCATGAATCACTGTTGCCTCCATTTGCTTAATCTTCCAAGCTTTCCAACATTCTCTTTAAATCAACATATTACAATTGCTGTCTTTGCACTGATGGTATGTGGAGATGTAGTATCACATCAGATGTAGTATCTACTCTCAGTCATTCCAGTGTCCAGTTTTGGGCCCCTTACTGCAAGAAAGATATTGAGGCCCTGGAACGTGTTCAAAGGAGGGCAACAAAGCTGGTGAGGGGTCTGGAACACAGGCCATATGAGGAGAGGCTGAAGGAGATGGGAATGTTCAGCCTGGAGAAGAGGAGGCTCAGGGGAGACCTCATTGCTCTCTATAACTTCCTGAAGGGAGGTTGTAGTGAGCTGGGGGTCGGCCTCTTCTCTCGTGTCATTAGTGATAGGACCAGAGGGAATGGCTTCAAGCTACGGCAGGGGAGATTCAGGCTGGACATCAGGAAGTATTACTTCTCAGAAAGGGTGGTCAGGCACTGGAATGGCTGCCCAGGGAGGTGGTGGAGTCACCGAGCCTGGGGGTGTTCAAGGAAAGGCTGGATGTTGTGTTGAGGGACATGGTTTAGTGGGAGCTGTTGGGAATAGGTGAACGGTTGGACTGGGTGATCTTTTAGGTCTTTTCCAACCTTGGTGATTCTACAATTCTATGATTCTATGATTCAAGTGCTCTGCAACTGTTATTTACAAGAGAGTTGTTCTGGATCCTTTCCTTGGGCTCTCCATAGGGGTGGTGCTCAGATGCTGTATGGAATCAGAGATTTCCTGTATTGCAGCAGTCCTTGGGCTATGTTCCTTGTCTGTGGCCAGGGATATGGTATATTTCTTGCTGAGGACGTGCACAGCAAAGCTGGAGAATACGAGTGATTTCTCCCAAGACTAATTGCCATTTCAACTTTGACGATTGGATGAATGAAAATTTCACTTTTCCTTGTAGAGAACATTTTTTTTCTAACCTTCCCCACATTTTTTCCACTGTTTCCCCAAAGAGTGTCAAAGCCAGGCAGATGTCAAGGTCTTAAGAGATTACCAAATCACATGGATTTTTTAAGGCCAATACTTTCCTTTTCCAAGTGGATGTTCTGGGAACTTACTTACAGACGGTGATTTAATAAACACACCCCTTTTAACTGGAAAAACTGCTAAATGAATGGTGGTGAAAACAACCTGGTGAAACACAGGAAATGGGCTTGAATGTGTTTTCTAAAATCTTTCTGTTTTAATTGCAGTAGAGCATCATGCAGAATATTACTCTCAGTACTGTCAAGCAGAGAAATGGGAGACTATATCCCCATTATCTTCAGGTAGCTCAAAGGCTGGCTTCTGGACCCTTTTTCAAAATGGATACTGTATTCAGACTTCACTGCAGTGTTATTCCACTCTGCTTCAGGGACCTTACTCCTACACTCAGCCACTGCTTTGCTTACTGTTCCTCTGCATAACTGTCTTGCTTTGGGAAGATGTTTTTCTGAGGCTTCCTGTATCTTCTTGATTCTCTAACCCAGTTAAAGAGTCTTCCTAGCAGATACTAATGGGTCCTCAGGTCATCTTTCCTTTCTCCTCACTATCTGCTATCAGTTCTTCCGTGCTTCACAACATCAGTCTGTCATAGTAAGGTTTTGCTTTCTTATATTTCTTACATAGAATCAGGGGCCTAGCTATAGAACCTCTAAAAGAAAGCTAGGCTTTATTTTAAAAGAGCTCTGAAAATAGAAGGCACAAAATACAACTCCATAATACAATTTTCAACTGCAGAGTGGCTAAAGTGGTTGGACTAAAAGAACTTTTTTTTCCTACAGAAAGAAAACTGTACTTGGCATCCTCAGTGAAAATCACAAATTACACGTTAGACTATCAACTAACCATGAGTGAGCCTCATACCCTGTGGCCCTGTACTGCCGCAGTGCCAGCCCCAATGCTGAAACATGCCAAATGGAGCCAGTTCAGCCAGCTGCCCTCAGCAGTTTCTGGCTACAGGATGGGTTTATCTCTCCCAGGGAATGCTGTCATGCCAGATGTCCAATCAAATAAAAGGTGTTTCCATACACAAACACACGGATATACACTTGTATGGTGGAGGAGGGAGCACAGTTCTACGTGAAGGCGGACACATCAACTGCAGAAGCATGGAAGCACTGGCAGAAATGTCTGCCTGGACACAGATGTGACCCATGAATGGTGACCTTAGAAGGTAGGATAGAAAGGGGATAGTGTGATATGGTGTGATAAGTGGCAGAGGTCAAGGATGGGGCTATCCTAAAAACATGCCACCATTTAAAAAAATCATTGTAATTTCAGTTTTACAGATGAGTTTGTTTTCAAAATTTCTGGATGCTGGGGATGCAGGAAGAAACTTATCCTTGAAAAGAGTTATCCCTTCATGCATTTGTGAATCCTTCTCATATCCAAAGGGCTCTGCTGATCCAGTTAGAAGCTAAGCAATGACACTGCAAACAGATCTTAACTTCACTTAGAGAGGATAAGCAGTCCTTACCTCCCACTTTGCCTGTTTAAGTATGTGAATCAGTAACTAACTTGATTTGCTTGCTAGAATTTGCACGTCAAGCACTTAAGCTAACCTTAAGGTATTAAGGGGGTTATAAGATCACTACTACAATAGTAAAGTAAGTCATTTCCTCAACAAAATTGCTATTCTGTATTATTTTAAGCTACTTTTATAGTTTTACAAGGTGATGCTTCCTTTCTAGTATGGGCGTTTTACCCCTACTCCCCATATAAAAAAATTCCACCTACTAATGTTGTTCATGCAGTGGTGGCCATCAGTGGTGGATGTGGAGCTGCCAGTCTTTTTTTCACATTTTCTGACCTTGCTGAAATAGATTTTGACAACTCAGTAAGCAAATGCTGTTGCCCTGGCGTTGAGAGCTGTCAGTGTTCAAAAAGTCATGGAAATGCACTTAGCACACCCAGGGAATTTTAAAGGAATGACCACTCAATTCAAAAATAGAAGGTGCTTACACAGCTGTAAGATGAACTATTTAGTAGGCAACTTTCTCAGGATGATATATAGGAAATTTCTGTTGCGAAGCCTTATTTTAAAGAGTAAGTAAATCCACCACTCCCAGGAAATCCAGAACCATTCAGCTGCTTCCAAGCAGCTTTCCTTCAAGCCTGGT